GGGTGGGTGGGTGGGTGGGGTGGGGGTCCATCATTAGTCGCCTCTTACAAATCATGCTCTGGGTAACAGCAGGTGTATTCCGTACTAAATCCGGCCCCCACTTTATGAACCAAACGTCCATATTACTATGACAGAATAGTTATGACTCCATTACATATTTGTCCAGACTATGTTTGGTAGTCCGCTTCAAATACAACGATGCATCAATCCCTCAAGGTAATGTAGACTATCGGAAGGCTGTTCCGTCGATATCGTTTCATTGACAACACAGTAAAAAGCATAGTGATTTTAATTCCATCGCGGATGAATATCTTTAGGGTAAACATACAGATTGAACGGTTTGGTTTAGTTTCGTAGCGTTGAAATAAGTGCCATGACTTATATATAAGTTTTACGCGGCGCAATACCACGTGATATTATACCCTTTCTTTGTTTTGTCGTTAACGATTTGTTCATAATATCACATGTCTATTAAACCAATCCTCAAATCTCTTAGTATCGCGTGCTCAAATTAAAGTTCTCGTTGTATTTCCTGCCAGTACGTGCCCACGTGGTGAAACACTCTCACATATTTTCGATGGAGTTAACATCCTTAACTTCATCTGTAATAATTCCAGAAACCACCTGTCCTATTTCCGTTTGGTTATTTGCTTGTTTGTAATTATTTTAATTTCATTTTAATTTCACAAAAATATTGCCCAGTTTAATAAACAATTTGTGGGGTGATATGACTCTTTTACGTCATAATCTCTTCGGGCTTCACCAGGTGAACAAACTACGTGTCAACCAGCCACCAGGGTAATATGTACCTAAAAAATATTTCTTAAGTAATTTTTAACGATTTACACATAATTATATACTAACTTCATCACAACAATATTAGGATTCGTGTAGAAATTTCATGTAATAATACCACATGAAATTAAAGACTTTTCCCGCACTTCTAATTTAATTTCGGCATCTAAAATGAAACTCTAGTTATCCGCTTAAAAGGAAACTTAATTGTCTGACACAAAACATGAAATTGACTTTGTATCTTTTCAACAGTAACAGTATTTTATACATAAAAATCAGTTTAATGTTGTCAATATCAAATACGCAATAAATGTTGAAACCTGTCTAATTCGACACCCTGTGGGATCCAACTAATTCCTCTGGTTAGACACAGTGTCAGAATATACAAGTTTGATTTTGTAGTTTTTATAAAAAATGATCACAGATGTATATCGGATATATATAAACTCGCCAAAGTTCTATCATTTCGTATGGCTGCCATCTATAAACTGTGTTGACAATATTATTGTAATCTAAAACATAAAGGGATTTGTATAAGTTGTATAACTTGTACCCAATCCCGTTGTTATTTTCAGGTAATAAAATATGTTTAAATAAAAAAATACAATATCGGATAAATATTAGAATATCAGAATAATCAATTGCCAGATTGGACAGGTAATACATATCGAATTTAAATAACTTAAAATAATCACCCACAGTGCATAACCTATCGAATTTGAACATATCACAATTTCATAAGAGTGTCCATTTCTTTTTCTAATTGTCTCACCATTCGGTGGTTCATGAAAAGAAGTTGACCACCCGGTAAAAACCGGTTAAGCACAATAGCTACCTTGTCTGGTTTATTTGCCACTTCAATCGGTTGATGTAAAAGTCGTAAATGTTCCTGTAAAAATCTTATCAAAATTTTCAGAACGTTTTCTGCCAACATCCGGTTCTCGGTCTCGTAACAAACGAGAGTACAACATGTATTCCCGGTGCCTTGCCACACGGCAATCATATTGTCCATTTCCGGTAGACGTAGAAATCCCTGCTCCATTTCCGGTAAGGTGTCTTCATTACTAAGTCGCTGCATGTCTTGCTCAACCGTCCGGCTACTGACGGCTCGCCGGAACTGGTATTCCGAATGTACCTGCAAAGTGAGGTATACGTGTATTTGTTTGAATATGAAAATAACATCAGGTCCTGATCAGATCATCTTTACTTTTTTTCTTCTAAATTACAGTTAGTTCATTCTCGATCACTAAAGGCACGAGGTTCGTGGTGGGACACCTTTCTCCGATATAATTTTATAAAATCAATTAGGACACCATATATTTTTCTAAAAAACACATGATTCCAATTTCCGATAAAAAATAAATAAGAAAAAACATTTGCCGTGAATCATGACATCTCATAGAAAAATGTAGAGAAAAGCAGCACAGATACAATCACACCAGAATGTTCACTGGAATAGGAACCAAATAAATAATGGTTGATTGGAGAAAATGGGATCCTGCAGAGTTTCGACATTCCTTCATTATAAAATACATAAAATGTTCTAAGATTATATTTTTTGTTATAGAAATTTCGACTTTCCACGAAAACCAGCAATGAAATCAAATACGAAAAAGACAAATACATGTACCAATATAAAACAGTGTAAACATAAGCCTTAAAGGGCATGACATTTTATCATATTAAGAAGGTTTTGACCTGTCAGGATTAATTAGAATTTTAGGGTTAAGATCAGCATTTGGGTCTATTTATATTATTTAAGAAGGGCCATGCTGAGTGCGTGTGATAAAATAAATACTACACGGTGTTCAAACAACGGATTGAAAGTAGATCAACACATCTAAGTCCGAGGTTAAAATACAATTTCACAAGCTGATGGATACAATATATAGTGAATGAGGTAAATGGTTTACATATACTGTAATACGGGGTTTCGTGCCGTTTTTTCAGAACACGCTTGTAAGTTACCCCTTCTTGAACCTCTCCAGATAGAAAAGTGGGCGTGGCTTACCTCGGAAGCTACTTCTTGTACTTTCTGTTTACGGAGAAACCTCAAATCACTGTCCGATGATTTCGTTCCTGTTGTGTCTCGTTGTTCAACATCATACACTTGTTGATACAACACACGACACGGCCCCGGTAGCAGAGTATGTATGATAAAGGCGTTCACCATCTTTCTGATAGAACTGTGCGGAGCGGTGGACCCATGTTATATTGTAATATTAGACTAGGTAGTTATACTCAATTCCGGACAAAGATAATACTAAATTTAAATGCGGTACACAATTTTTTCCGGATTATACATAATATATAAGATGTACGTAAGATATACATTTAAAAGAAAATATGAAAATAATAGAAGTATATAAGATTTTGTTTTTAAATGTTCTTCCCTCCACCCAGCCCCAGCCCCGGGGTCCATATCTACCCCAACTCACTGATTCACATTAGCATCTCTGTTTTGCCCTTCCCTTCAAATAATCCCGGATCCACTCAAGGGAGGGATTGTTTTACCGGCTTGAGTAGGAGCAGTACCAATTAATACTGAGTGATTCACAATACAAATCATACTTTTGTGAACTTATGTTTTATAGGCCAGACAGGTACAGTAGAAGTGGTTATAGATTTATAGATAATGTAATATAGAAAGTAACCTCGTTTAAAGACACGCGGTATTTGGGTTACATGTTAATTATGTATATATTGAGATACCGAGATAAATGTGGATATGTATAGTCTAGACAGGCAATAGTATCACCTACTGTCTATATACTCATCATTACTGTGTATATTACAGGCGCGTCTCAGTTTTTAGGTCAAAACTTAAAAAAATCGTACGTCTTGATAAGACACGAAAAGAATCGAATGTGTATATCTTTATAATATTGACCCACGCCCCATCCCCACCCCATCCACTTCACCAAGTCTAAATAAAAATAAATATTCGATCACTTACTTTGAATAGAAAAACATGTATTTGTTATTTTATTCACAAACATTGAAACTGACCCATTTTCGATGAACAGACGTGATAACAACAATTCATAACAAGTTAAAACTCTCCATGACAACTGTTCTATGGAATAATAACAAAAATAATCAGTCTAACCAACAATCGGTCTTCATAGACAATCTGCTGCTAAAATAAAGTAAACACAAAAAGACCGTTTTATTCAAGGGTTGAAAATTAATTTCCGGAAAAAAGGTTTCATTTTTACAATATCTATTTGTCACCAACCATAATCTGCTGAATGATGCTCCGATATAATTGGTGTCGGTGTCCAAAACTGACCACGGCGGTCAGTATGTAAAGTTCACGCTATATGCCTTACAGTAAAGAAAAAGAAATGACAGCTGCTAATGGGGGCAGAAAACGAAAATCGTTCCCATGATAATACAATTATATTGATTGTGTCGTTAATACCTCAACAGTAACTGAGTGATTGAAGGTATACTCCGAATAAAAAAAAAGCTAGATATAAAAATATTGAACGTAGTCTTAGAGTATGTACTGTATGTAATTCAAATGATG